GACATTCCGCCACAAGCAGCAGGGTCGTGGGCGGACATCGAGGTCCTCATTCATGTCGGCCGAGATCCAACGTCGAAGAGACCGCGCTGAGGTACCCCAGACCTTCGAGTTGGGTCACTTCAAGGGGAACCATGGTCTGCGACGCTTAGGAGTGTCCTCGTACATGTAGCTTACCTCGCGCATGATTCGCTGGACGTCTTGACGATCTGCTGACAGCCATCCTCTGCCGGCAGCCGTATAACGAACGTCGAGTTTCGCATCATCGACCTCAAGAGTTGAATACGGCTCGCTTGCGTCATCCGTAGCAGAAGGACGCCGTACGAGCGAGCGTACTGCGCGCCCGAAGCTGGTGACGCTCAGCAGCTCCTGGTGCTGTTGTTGCCAGCACTCGCCATGGACCATGACGCTTTGCAAGCACTGGCTATGGCCTCTTGTAAGCATCGTGCACGCGCCCACCACCGTGTTCGCAGCATCCCAGTCAGCACTGCGGCGAGCGGTGACCAGTTCCGAGCACGCCCGACGACCCAGACCGCCAAATACCACAGGACCTCGGTGATGTCCAGGCGTCCCGAACACGCCCACCCAAATCATCAGCGCCCCATAAGATTCAACACTGGCCGTAGCTTCCTGAGCCGCTCCACAAAAGCTCCGTGGCCAATCACAACATGAGGGAACGCACCCAGAGCAGCTGGCCGCCCCGCACCCACACGGACCGCCGCAGAAGCGCTGTGACTGTGCCACAGCAGCAAGGGCCCGTGCATGAGGATCTGTCAGAGGTGTACACAGAGCGCGGTGGCACTGCGCGGCGTGCTTCGACGCACAGCGCCACGGCGCTCAACTTCTGTCGTTGACACTGCCCGCCTCGGAGGAAGGTAAGCACGAGATCTGGGTAGGGGACGTACCTTCAAGATCACCGTACGGGTCTCGGGAGGGCTTGAGGGTGGGGTAGCAGTACATACAACATGACATTCCGCGCCCGTATAATAGTAAGCAGAAAGCCCTAGTGGCCAGACCGTATAGCACACGAATGAGAGCCTGAGGTGGAGGTATGCACGACAAGGTGAGCGCGAAAACCAAGACCCAGTGCGTGTTATGAGGGGATGGGAGGTATAGATGGAGCATGCGACATTGGGACGCACGAAAGCGAGGAAGAGGAAACGCCGACGTCGTAAGGACAGGCCTATGGTCCGGATTATAAGGAATGGTGGAGAGGTCAGCCGGGGCTAAATAATGTTATCAAGAAGGAGCACCATGCGTGGCTGAATGTAAATCGTCTGGTGCGAATGCAAAGTCTGTCACCGAGCGGACCTACTGGTCGAAGTGCGCAGAGAGATTACGGTGGGGAAGGAGCCATGCGAAGACGGAGGATGGCAGAGGTGGTAGCATCCTTGCACGGCTAGAGCAGTGTTCGCATGTGGTTGCATGCGGCGGGAATTGGGTAACAAGCAGGTAGGGTATGCGGGTATTTGTGCGTGCCGAGTGAAGGAGGCAGACGACGAGGTGCGCTTCAGTCCCGGACGACCGGGATCGGGGAGCTGAGGTGAGGAGAAATTGGGAACATGGAGGGCGGGGTCAACAAGCGAGCATATAGATCGGTAGGAGGGGAAACGGAACATTAGAGCAGCTTGGAGGCACGCAGATGTTCACGAATGACCATGTCCTTGACTGTGATGCATGTACCTTGAGACAACCTTCAAAGGCACGAATCGAGGCAGGCTTACCACTTGCTATGATACCTCCAGTGGTAGTTGTATCCTGCACGACAGCCGAGTGAGCTTGGCGGGAGTACCCTCAGAGCGCCCAACTTACTGTGACTGATGTACAGAAGCCGTAGAATTTCCGAGGTATGGGTGAGTGTTCCCGATGGATAGCACTGAACTTGCTCTTGAAGTCTGTGTCCCAGGGAATGAGCAATCTAATAAGGTGGCATTATCACCGGTAGCTTACACTTCTCCACCGTCTCGGGTTCATTGGGGCGGTCGCCGAAGCTCCGCACGTACTTCGCCAGCCGTACCCCAGACTTGAGCTTGGATGCGAGGATGTCGCATTTGTTAAGGAATAGCACTATGTCCACCTTGGCAAGTAGCTTGTTGGAGCAGACTTCCTTCCATAGTAGTACACTATCCTCCTGCAATGAGGGCATATCGGATGAGCGGCCTCTTTTCGGAGGGAAATTCGATACGAACCAGTCTGTTGATACTCCGATCTTCTACAAGAGTCTGATCAAATGCAGAGATCGGCGCCAGGAAAATGATTGCTGTATGCGGAAGTATGAGAACCGGATTATGATTCCACTTGCGATGACTCACCATTCACTACGCGTTGCGTGCACGGGCCCGGTCAGTATGGTACGAGTGTATTAACAAGACTAATATCGTACCATCGTCGAAGAAAGGTACCCATGTCGCTGGAGCAAGATACTGGGTCAGAGACTCTACATCAACAGGAGGCTCACAACAGACTCACGCCGCTGATATACGCGCCTGTTAGTAAGGTATATAGACGGGGAAGATGATAAGCCGTCCTAACCTGTGACCTCGAACCGCCAACGTCAATGATGCGCCATTCTGTGCCAGTCTCCGGACCTGCCTCCATATGGAAGCTGTACTCCGAGACCCCCACAGTTTTCAGGCGTGCTCTCAGCACGTCGTCTGTCAAGTCATATCAGTACGTCGATCATACAACACAGCAGGGATACTACCTACCGTCGGAGGGAAAGTAGGACAATGAGGTGACCCGCTCTAGGTCGTTCAGATAGCTGCATACTCCTGAGTCAAGATCGGGCCAGAGGCAATGTAGCACTCACAAGCCGGGGCTTTCTTCCAGCCTGATCTTTCGGCGCCGCAGTATCTGTCTGACCACGGGATCTCCCCACAAGGCCGCCATATCCGATCGACAATGGTAGAGCACTGTCTGAGACTCGTCGACAGTCTCCTGTCCAGTTGTGCCCGCCGACTGAGGCCTGCCAGACGATCGCAGCTTCCAAGACGCGCCGGGGCGGACAAAGACTTCTTGGTTGTGGAATGCAGGGGGCGGCTGTGAATGGCCACTGCCGTAATACGACACGTTGCCGTTTACACTATTGCTCCCACCGACACCTAGAGTGGTCGCCTCGTGCTCGTTGGGAGGGACGAGCTTGGCAATGAGGAGTGACTCTACATGGCGCAGGGGATAGAGCCGTCTGCGGAGCTCTTCCAAGTGGTACGGCAGCGACACTTGGCTCTCGGATTCTGAGTCTGAGTCCGGCTCCGAGGTGTAGATTGAGGAAGGATAAACGTCCCGGCGCCGAACGTCGCTTATCGCGTCAAGTATGGTATGGATCGAGCGCACGATATTCAGCTGTATGACCGCACGCCATAAGACGCGTTCTTCTCGGAAGGCGTTGGGAGTATAAAGTCGTTGAAATTCTGAACAGAGGCGTTAGCACAGTAATTCGCAGAAATCAGCTCGAGATATGACGGGACAGAAGCGGCGTCTTGGAGCAAGGAGGCAGAGCAAGCGACGCAGAGATAGCCGAGAGGATATAGACGGGCCGGCGACCTTCCACTAAGAGCAGAAGGACTTCTATGACGACTTGGTGGAAGGTGGGCTGGCTCATGACGAAAGCCTTGCCGTACTTCGTTCCTGGAATCCGCCAGTGCAGCGACATCGAAAGTCAATCACTTACGGCGTAATGTCGTGGATTTCCCTGGCATTATATTTCAGTATGATGTGTATGAACACCAACCGCTTCTGACCAACCTGATTCACTCTGACCCAGGAGAAGGAGTCTCACAAGCCTTCGTTTCTTGCGCTGCTTCTCCTCAAGCCGGATAGCTTCATCTATGGCGAGGCTGACGCGCTTTGCAGCCTCCTCGCTCGCAAGCCGATGTGCTTTCTCCTCCTCAGTCTCGTCTATGGGCGGTCTGAGAGCGGCGGAGAGGGGGTCACGGTCCGTGGGCTCTCGGGAGACGGGCATGATGGTCATGAAGAAGAACGATGGAACTGAGGAGATGGAGACGAGGGAATCTAAAGAGGAACAGTGGCGGAGAGCGAAAAGGTGACAGACATGAACGCTCGCTGCAAGATTCCGGCGTACACGGGCGTCTCGCCTGCTACACCCGCGTAGACGCCCGTCTACATACTCCGAGTCCGATCCCGGCCTGTCCGGAATTGCAATAATGTTGTCTCAAGCTCGCGTTGCGACTCGTTGCGATCATGACGGCGCAGCGATATCTTACAAACACGCTTACTGAGAAGACAATGCCTGCATTGCCTCTGTACATCACCGTTGTGCGCGACCTGTACGTGTGCCCTTGTCTCTCGATCATATACCGTACCTCCAGGCTGGGAGTCACAACACCGTCGACCGCCGTCACCAAGCACACTCCGGCTGCACCGCCAGGATCCGGAGATAGAATCACTTCGCAGTCCACGCGGGATGACTTGTAACTTTGACCATCCGCTGATCGCCCTGATTGCATCGCACGCATGCATGTGAGAACTACTATACTACTCAGGCTCATGCCACATGCGAGCGCTCTCCTGAGCCCCCTGGCTTCTGGATCACCGACTACTAGCCTTCCCTCATGCCCGATATTGAAGCTTATACACCGGTGCCCACTTACGAGGAACCATCCTGACATTGGGAACCTTACTCGCCGCCGCGAGGCCAGTCTATCTCCTCACTGTGGCGCTGCCGACCGTGACACGGTACACGAGACCTGCGACTGTAGTATTAGCTTCCATCACGCGAATCTATTCAAGTAGCGAGTGTTATGAGTATTCGCATAGTGGTCCACGGCAGCACACCCTCCTTGGGCCGCCTGGCATTGCGACGAGCGTACGGTGCATATCTCAGTACGTAGGGGTGTGTATCTGTACACCTCTTACTGAGCCTACAGATAAGTACGCATTGCTCCCTCAAGCCATCCGACGACATCACTGCCTATTCGCTGGGCGTATGATATCTTACTGAGAGCTCGTTCTCTTCGGATAGCTCGTGGATATAAGTCTAGTATGGCTACCTGGCGCAATGGTAGCGCGTTTGGCTTCGATCGCCGGACGGCAACCCCTCCGCCTCAGTGTCGGTACCAAAAGGCTGCAGGTTCGAGTCCTGCGGTGGTCATGCCTTTTTCCCAGAATTTTCCCGGACCATCTGCGTGAAGAATGATGAAGAGCATGAGTGAGTACGAGGAGATGAGGGAAAAGGATGCAGCCGGGCGCTGGATGAACGAAGATTACCATAACGGGACATTTTGCACAGCCTTCGGATGTTGCCGATCGTTAGAGGCGTGCGTCTGAGAGTTCGTCGCAGTCTCGCAGTACGAGTCGTGGCAAAATGAGCATCGAGCCGCCTCATATGCTCTAATAGTACGCCTTATCAATCTCCGCATTGCGAGAACAACGAGCCCCAGGGTGTGTTATGGAGAACGCACATTACTGTACTACCGTTGGTATATGCGGAGCCCCGAGTTACCTACAGCTGCAGACTCTGACCCCTCCCTCCAAGTCGCGCGCGGCGAATGCATTCCGGTCACAATCCTGAGATGCTGGGAGTCGCCCAGGCATCTCGCCTGCGGCGGAGCTGGAGTACGATCCCTCGGAAGGCATCGTCAATACAGACCTTGGTGCGGGCCAAGCGACATCCGTGTGCTGTGTCTGCAAGGCACAGGAACAGAATCTGTACCTGGACCTGGAGAGGTGAGGTACTCGGGTGCGAGAATGCGCCCACAGCGAGCCTCCAGTAATCTCACCACCGATTCTCACAAGCATGTACGTACAGCGTGCGCCAATGAAACTGGTTGAATGCATGTTCGCCGCATAATGGAGCTACAGACCAGAGGTCGCCTGGGTATGCACTGTCTGGACGAAATATGAGCGCAGTGCCGAGTTTGAAGAGGTCCGCCCAACGACACTGACAAATGTCCATGGTGCGTACTCGTGCCCTTTGAGCGGCCGTGGAACGTCATCGTTATGCTACAGTCCGGTGCTTCAGTGATGACTGCGTAAGGGACGGTGGCTCGAAAGTCGGCCTTGCGGTAGTAGACAGTTGCTAGGAGCTCACATATGACGCTGAGACAGATCCGATAGTGGACAGCTGAACGGCCACTTACGTCCTCGGAACCCTCATAGTGTGTCCATGTGTTCAGGACGAAGCGCTGACATGCGATAGGCCTGTATGACATACGTCTCGGATGAATCAGGACAGGCATCGGGCATTTTGGTGCGCGGACCTTGGTGAGGCAAGAATACAAATATGATTTGGACTTTTCCCAGTAAAATCGTCTAGATCCAGAGCGAGCGCAGAGACACGACGACGCTGCACTACACGACGTCAGAATAACCATGGGCCCACTGTCAGATGGATGAGCCGATGAGCACTCCTGGGAGACATCCAGCCACCGGCTGAACAGGCACGCACCCCTTCCTCTCTCGCCTTCTGGTTTGATCTGCAAGCAGCTCTGGTGGATGAGGTTCAGCGCCTTCACGGCGTCTCGCCCGTCTATTACGCAAGAGATGTTGATCTCATTCGCCCCCTGGCTGATCATCTCGATGTTCACGTTGCCCTGGCCGAGCGTGGTGAACATGCGCCCCGAGATACCAATCATGTTTCGCATCGACTTCCCGACCAGCGACAGGATGGCCATGTCGCGGCTCACGGTCACCTATAGAACTCTCAGTGATAAGCGTCAACATCAAGTATCGCACGTAGACTGACCGTGCCGCTTTTCCTCAGCTCGCGCACCACGCGATCCAGGACCTTCTTGTCAAGGTTCTCCTCGATGGCCATACTCACGTAGACCTCGCTGGTACTGATGAGGTCCACGACGACACCGTACCTGTCGAGCGTGCCGAAGATCGTCGCAAGGAAGCCATGCGAGACATTCTTTCGGTTTGAATTGACGTTCAGAACGATGATGTGCTCCTTGATCGTGACCGCTGTCGGCTGCCGTACATGGCTATGTTTGTCCATGAACGGCGATGCGAGAGGGAGCGCCGCTGCCTTCGCAGCGGAGGTCGTTGGGATGACAGGGGGGTATGGTGAGTCCGCGCCGTTAGGCACGGCGCAAGGGTCGACGTCGGGGTCAGGATGGATGACAGTGCCGCCGCCCTTGGGATTTTCGACATTCTTGATACGAATAGGGATTTTGCGACGGATGACCTTTGCATAATTGTAAGCCTGACTGACGCAGACTAAGGTAATGGGCACTGACCTGGTCCATGGTGAAGGGATGGACGACTTCACTCCCATAGTACGTGAGCTCTGCCGCCTCTTCCGGAGAGATAATCGGGATCAACCTCGCAGTGGGTACCTTGCGAGGATCCGCGGTGAAGATACCATCGACCTCCTTCCAGATTTGCAGCTCAGAGGCACCAAGGCCGGCAGCAAGCAGCGCAGCAAGGAGGTCCGTGTAGCCACGCCCGACTTGCCTGAGAAGGGAGCCAGGGACAGGGCCAAAGAAGCCTGGTACAGCCATGAGAACAATCGCTCAGCAAAGGGTTGTGAGAGCCTACCGGTCACTACAGGCACGCGGTTCCCGCATTGCCTGATTCTCTCTGCCACTACGTCCGCGATGCGGTCGTAGAAATTTTGACCGAGTGTTTCTGAGTCCGAAAAGTTCTCGCTTTCGGCGAGTGGTACAATGCTCTCCAAGCTCACAAACTCCGCGTCTATGTTCTAAACCTTATGTCAGTTGCAATGCACTTAGACCAGTTCAGTGGACCTACTCTATCTCGGAGAATAGCCGTGACCAGCTTGCACCCGAGTCGCTCCCCAAAGCCGATGATGCTGTCTCTTGACCTTGGGGAGATTTCGTCTATGACCTTCCGGCGTACCAGACGTCAACGGAATGGCCCGTAAGGCATTCTGAGCTACCTACTTGGGTGGCGAAAAGGAAAGACCTCAGAGCTTCACAATCGCGGTCTATTTCCATCTCGAGCTCCTTCAAAATCTCAGAATTCCGGACGGACGCTTTTGCAGCACTGATATGTTCAGACCGGATGAGGTCTACGGTATTGCTGAATGCAGGAATAGCGGCGGTGATAGGAGACATGGCCAGTGATGAACCGGGCGTGTTTGAAGTAGGCGAGGACTTGCCCGGGCTCGCGAACGGAGACTGGTACTGGGAGAGTCTGTTGAAGACACCATTCGGAGACATTGTCCCCGGGGTCTCTGATACGCTATTGGAGCGTTGCAATGCCTCCGAGGCAGCCTTCAGAAGCAAGTTGGTCGTTCCGAGAGCTTTCGTAGATCCCGATCGCGCAGAGCAGACAATGGCGACCTTGTGCTGGTCTAAGTACTCACTGGTGCCACAAAAGTCAGATAGGTCAGCGTTCATACAGCATATGAGTCATCTCAGGATGGAAGAACGGACGGTATGATGTCTTCCGCGATCTTCACGGCGAACTTCCCCACACTCGTCCCGCCATACTTTTGCACCAGCCACTTCGCGGCCGGATCGATGGTATTTTGGTGCATGTTTGGAGGCGTGCGCGGAGCACTCGAGACGGACAGAGAAGAGGAACGAGAAGAGGGAGGGGACAAGGAGGCGGGGGTGGATGCTAGAGACATGGCGGAGCGGAAGAAGGATAGCGGACAGTCTGCTTACAGTGCACAATCCTTCAACCGTAGATGACTCGACCAGGGAGATGCTCGGCATCTCCTCGAACTTGCGTGCTAGGTCTTATTATGCTGCCTCACGCACCATGTCCCCAAGGTTCCGAGACTCCCCGCATGGTTCTGCTTCACGGGCACTGAATTGTGAGGTAAAAGATGCTCGGAGGATACGCTGGTAGCCGGAGCGAGAACTTCCGACAGCTTGTCTTCCGGCGATTTCTACGATCTCATGACTGGAGGACTTGTGCCGAAGCCAAGAATATCCCTTCGACTCGAAGCAAATGCGACGGACAAGAGCCAGACGTATCGAATCCCCTGATGGAGTGTGCGACGGCGAAGGAGGAAGGGTGTCTCGCCCACAGGCTCACTGCGGTTGGGTTTGGAGTACTGTATTGGCCCATTTGTCATGGCTTAGCGGCACTTTAATGGATGTTATAGTCCTTTGTGAAGCCCTACTTTCCGAGTAAATAAAGCAGTGTAAGCTCTTACGCGCCCGGGGTAATCTCAAGGGCCGTCGCGTACACGTCGGTATCTGTTACTGCGCTCTTCCGTCACTTCGCGCGCACCATCCCCAGTTCTGCCCTCCACGCCTACTGACCGAGTATGGCGGATGCGTCATTCAAAGACGTTCCGGAGATATTCGAAGTGCGTACCGCAGCTCGCAGGTGTTCCAGATATCCATGACGTTCCCCAGGTTGAGCTCACGGAGTCCTTGACCGCGCGCACGGAGAGCCTATGTCGGTGAACCTATGCTACAGCGCGTAGGAGCGCGATCTGACGTTGTACTCGAGCAGCGACTTTCAGGGAACTTGGCCCACCTGACCTGGTCCATGTGCTGAAGAGTACTGGCCGCAGCGGTCAACGAGACGTAGGTGTACTCCTCGAATCCAAGATGCGCCACCACCCACCGTCCGTTCTAGCTTGGCTCATATCACTATGTCTCCGGAGTAGACGCTTCATCGTCTGCATCACTGGCAGCATACATCAATTCCTTGACGTACAACATAGAGGACGACTCAGGCTGGTTCTCGAAGGGGACCTCCTGGAAGGTCAAGAGCGGATGCTATTGGTAAGTGCGTTGTTACGAGTATCCCGTCTATGCGCTCAACAGTAGTCTCAGCTGTTTCAATGCATTCTCGCGTGTGGATGTCCGTGTTGACGTCAAGATTCCGGGAGGTGTGCAGGCATATGTCGTTGACTTGCGAGGGGAGAGGTGCGTACTTACTTCATGTCATACCGTGCCCGCCCTCACCCTATCACAGACATGAAGCGAGCGCGGAGATATGGCAAGAAACGTTCCTATCCGCCCTCCTGCGTGCTATCCTATACTCCGATGATCCTACGTACTGGTTGGAAGCATACCGCAAGCTTGACCCAATCACAAACCCCGAGGGAGAGTTACGGTTCCTCCAAGCCGCGGAGGCATTGTTTATGAAGGGTGAGCCCAACACTTTGGTCGCCGTAGCTTAATTCCAATAGCCTTGCAGGCTGGCAAGTCGGGTCCGACC